GGGGAGCCCCGGGAAGAGGGCGGGGTGACCCTCGGGTGCTGCTGAGGCAGTTCCTGAGGTAACTCGGGGCCCCTGAGGGGCAGCTCTGAGGGAACGTTCCGTCCCAAGGGGGTTTGTGGCAGCGGAGGTAAATCTGACCCCGGGGAGGCAACTCTGAGGTAATTTCGGGCCGTGTGGAGCCCCGGGGGCGCGGCCCTGGGGAAACTGGGCTTCAGGGGACTCGTGGGTGCAGCCCTGAGGTAACTGTGGCCTTTAGGGGATCCGTGCGGCAAACCTGAGGTAATTTTTGGTCTCGTTAAGTCTGTGGGGCAACCTTGAGGTAGTTTGGGCTCCGGTGGGGCAATGCTGAGGCAACTTTGGGCACTGTGGGGATCTGTGGGGGCAGCTCCGTGGTGACTGTGGGCCCCGAGTGGACCTTGGGGCCGCCTTGAGGTAACTGTGGGTCTCGAGATCTATGGGGCAGTCCTGACGTGATTTCTGGGATTTGTGGGACAACCCTGAGACAGTTTTGGCTATCATGGGACAACACTGAGGTAGTTCTGGACATCACAGAGCTCCATGGGCGCAGCCCTGGGGGACCATGGGGCTGCTGTGGGTCCCCTGACATATTTTTGGCTCCCATGGGGCAGCCCTGAGGTAATCTTGGGTCGCCTGGGTCAACACTGAGGTAATTCTGGGCACTGTGGGTGCAGCCCTGAGGTAACTACTCCCCCCCTGTACACACCTTATTTTAAGGTGAAGGTGCCTCTGATTAGCTTGACGTTAATAAAACTGGATATATGTTTTGCTTCCACCATTTAATCCAAACTGGCCTTTGCTGCTTTAGAGAAGTTCAGTAAAAATAAACAAAAGAAAACCCTTTTTAAAAGTGATTTTTAATTGTGTCCTGGGCTGTGTGTGGCAGCAGCAGCAGCACTGAGAGGCTGGGGTGTGCCATGCCAGTTGCAGACCTGGAGTTTCTCACCTGGCACAGAAGTTAGAGGAGGTGCAGAGCTGTAAAATGTTAAATTCACCTTAAATTAGTGCTGTGGCCCTTCATGTTCTCTCTCCACAGGCTCCCTCCGTTTCCCATCTCTCCAGGATGAGAGAAGTTTGGGATCGGCTTTTCCCCTCTCCCTGTAGTTGATAGTTTGGGAACGGAGGTGATGCTGGAGTCGAGATGGCTGACAGTGTGAAAACCTTCCTGCATGACCTCGTCAGGGTAAGTCTCTTGTGTCTCGGCCCCTTTGCCCTGGGGACTGGGAGGTGATGGTGGCTTTTCCACTGGGAGCACCCTCCCTATATGGAGACAGGCTGAGGGAGCTGGGGCTGTTCAGCCTGGAGAAGAGAAGGCTCCAGGGAGACCTTAGAGCACCTTCCAGTTCCTGAAGGGGCTCCAGGAAAGCTGGGGAGGGGCTTTTTACCAGGGTGTGTAGTCGTGGGACAAGGGGTAATGGTCTTAAACTGAAAGAGAGGAGATTTAGGTTAGAGATCAGGAAGAAATTCTTTACTGTGAGGGTAGTGAAGTGCTGGAATATGTTGCCCAGGAAAGCTGTGGCTGCCCCCTCCCTGGAGGTGTTATGGGGCAGGTTGGATGAGGCTTGTGGAGCCTGGTCTGATGGGAGGTGTCCCTGTCCATGGCAGGGAGGCTGGAACCTTCTGATCTTTAAGGTCCCTTCCAATCTTCACCGTTCCCTGATGCTCTAGTCAAGGTTGGGTTTGTCCGAGGTGCATCCGAACTTGAAGGGATCTTCTTTGGTTATCTCCATCCCATTCCTCCTCTCTTCCGAGGTGGAACATGACAGCTTCCCCTCTCACCCCACATCCATAGGGAATTAAGGACTCCATCTGGGGCATCTGCACCATCTCCAAGCTGGACGCCCGGATCCAGCAGAAAAGGGAAGAGCAGAGGAGGAGGAGAGCCAACAGTGCCCTGGCCCAGCGGAGGTTTCACATAGAGGAGAAGAAGCAAGAGGCGTGAGTGTTGGGCCTGAGGAGCCAGAAATCAAATCATTCCCTTCCCCTCACCCTTCCAAGAACAGAAATCCCTAATTTTATTGTGATGGGAGTTTCAGAAGAAGAAAGCCCAAGATTTCCAATAAATTATTAACTTGGAAGGAAATGTGGCAAAGCAGGGGAATTAATAAATAATGAGTGGGCACAGATCAGGGGGAATGGGCTGCCCAGGGCATTGGTGGAGTCTCCGTCCCTGGAGGTGTTTAAGAGAGTAGATGTGGTGCTGAGGGATATGGTTTAAGTGCTGGACTTGGCAGAGTTGCGTTATGGTTGGACTGGATGATCTTAATGGTCTTTTCCAACCAGAATGTTTCTGTGGTTCTGTGAATTAACAAATGGCCCATCTGTCTGGCCCATCTGTCATCCTGCCCCGCAGGGAACCCCGGATCGTGAGCCGGATATTCCAGTGCTGCGCCTGGAACGGAGGCGTCTTCTGGGTAAGGGGCTGTTCTTGTTGTTCAGCACTAGGACATGTGGCTACCAGCCTGGCTCTAAGGGTCGCAGCCATGAAGTTCCCCATCCCAGTATTTTATGGGATATAGGACCATAGACTCACTCCGGAATAAACCTGAGCTGCTTTTTCCGGTTGTTGAGATGTCTGGGATGTTGCTTTATGGAATACCAGGATGTCAGAGGCAAACGCCCGGCCACCCCATAAATAACCAGCTATGAGGAACCAGTGGGGAAATGTTGGAAGGAACATGCTGGATTGTAGATTTTGGAGAAGGTGGCAGCTGTGAGGTCACAGCAGCATCAGAGATGACCAGGCCTCACCTCACCCAGAACCTCCCTGCTTCTGTCCCTGCAGCTGAGCCTCTTCCTGTTCTACCGCGTCTTCATCCCCGTCCTGCAGTCAGTGACGGCGCAGATCATCGGTGAGTCGGCGTCACGCGGGTGAGGGGGGTGCCAGCACTTCCAGGGTGGCCCTGATGTCACCTGCCCCGATGACGTGGCGCATCCCTCTCGACAGGTGACCCTTCCCTCCACGGCGACGTCTGGTCCTGGCTGGAGTTCATCCTCACCTCCATCTTCAGCGCCCTCTGGGTCCTGCCCCTTTTTGTCCTCAGCAAGGTGGTCAATGCCATCTGGTTCCAGGTGGGTGATGGGAGAACACCTTGGATCTTCCTGGTGAATCCTTCGGATTTCCTCAGTCCCAGGTTTTCTCCCACTTCCTGGCAGGATATCGCGGATCTGGCGTTCGAGGTGTCTGGCAGGAAGCCTCATCCCTTCCCCAGCGTCAGCAAAATCATCGCCGACATGTTGTTCAACCTCCTGCTGCAGGCACTCTTCCTCATCCAGGTGAGGCAGGAGGCACATCTCCTGCTCTGGGGGTGTTGGGGTTGGAATCTTCTGCAAACTCTGTTGTGGTCCTCAGGGAATGATTGTGAGCCTCTTCCCCATCGACCTCATCGGCCAGCTCATCGGCCTCCTCCACATGTCCCTTCTCTACTCCCTCTACTGCTTTGAGTACCGCTGGTTCAACAAAGGTGAGGGGAAAAATCTGGAATCTGGGGATTTTCCAGCAGATTTTCCTTTTTTTAATACATGTTTATATGTTTTTGTGTTGCCAGGCATTGAGATGCACCAACGGTTGTCCAACATCGAGAGGAACTGGCCCTACTATTTCGGCTTCGGCCTCCCACTGGCCTTCCTCACGGCCATGCAGTCCTCATACATCATCAGGTGAGTCCCCTCTGACATCATCAGCTGCCTTGCGGGGTGGCCATTTTAGGCACCCCCCATTATCCATTGATCCCTCCTTCTTCCAGTGGCTGCCTCTTCTCCATCCTTTTCCCTCTCTTCATCATCAGCGCCAATGAAGCCAGGACCCCCGCCAAGACTTAGTGAGTGCTGCAACGTCCTGTTAAATCCCTGCTTTGTCCCAAAATCCCGAGCAGGGGAGGATGGGAGAAGTTCCCTTGTGCTCACCAGCTCCCTTCCCTTGCAGCCACTTCCAGCTCCGACTCTTCTCCCTGGTGGTTTTCCTCAGCAACAGGCTCTTCCACAAGACCATGTACCTGCAGTCCGCCCTCAGCGCTGCGTCCTCCCCCTCCCCCGCCAAACACGTGGCTGCACCGGGGCACTGAGCGGCCGCCCCCCGGGGGTCCTGCTGCCCAGAGGGGCAGGGACGTCAGGCCCCCCCCGGCCATGATGTCACCACGGCGTCTGCCCCCGGAGCTGCCACAGAAATATTTTTGGGAAAACGTGAATTTTTAACACTTCTGTGAGCGCTGCCCCCTTC